ACCAAGAGGTGCTTGCTTCATCAGAAGTCTTTTACTACGGGCGAAGTAGAATTCATCTCCTGCTAGAGGCACTCAGATGTCCAACTTCTCAAAAACATATATAGGAACTCTCCCTCGCTGGCCCGTTCTACTCCTTTTCATCAGCTTTTTCATCCTTTTGGTCTCTGTGTACTGAAATTTATGTTAACAGATGATGATTTGATATTTTGTGGAAGCAGATTAAGAAGCAGAGTCTCTTCAGAAAGAGAATCGAGTTCAAGAAAGAATTGAGGTTGAAACTGACCTACTGCCACATGGGAGGAGGAAGACGTTGGAGTTTGGTCCATATATTATGCCGGTAGTTCATCACTATGATGAAGCCATTGTGTTAGGACCATGTATTTATCCTTTTCCAGTCCCTATGACCATGCATGCTGCATATTGAATCCTGTAGTTTACTTTATTTCTTGGGGCGAATCTCTAACAATTCTTATTTTGCAACAAAAGTTATGTTTATTAGATCAACTTTAGTGTATGATTAGATCACTTTGTATAAACAAGGTCCCTTATTTGTTTAGAGAGAAGTCAATGCAACTGATGATTGGTATATGAATATAGTTTAGTTGCCAATTCGCCATCACGATCACCTGCTTTCTGGAAGGGAGGGGAGCTGTAATTGTGACAACAGTACAAAACTGACACTTGTCTCTCCTTACTTCATGGTAATAATATAAACATGACAATGGAAAAGGAAATAGTAGTGAGCCTAGTGACAATATTTGCACTCTTTTGATTTTATGCTAAATTATATCTGTGGTAAGGTAACAGAAGCCGCGAAGCATGTGCACAAATACAACACGACAACATAGTAAGTAAATTCTTAAAGAAAAAAGGGTCAGGATATGAGGACATGGCAACATGATTGTGTGTGTGCGCGCGCGCGCCCGCATAGAATACACAACAAAACTCAGTCTATATTTAATACACAGAAAAAACCCATAGAAGTAAAAGAGAAAAACCAATTAAAATCTTAAATCTTTTAATCAAGTAAATAAGTCAAAAAAAAATCCAATCTAATATTTATCAAATTGAAGTCTATGAAGCTCCTTACATGTTCGTCAAGGTGTTCAGGTTTTCCTTACATGTACAGTATGCTTTTGTAGGTTGATCTTCTTTGTGTACTTAAGCCATGCCAAGGATTTATATCACTGGTACAAATGGTGGCATTCCAGACGGAATATTCCGTCTGGAATAGTTAAAAAACCGTCTGCAATAGCTATTCCAGACGGAATTCCGTCTGGAATAGCCGTCTAGTTAGTTTCCGTCTGGAAAAGTTTAATCCAGACGGAAAATCCGTCTAGGATACATCCTAGACGGATTTTCCTCGACGGAAAAAAAATCCGTCTAGAATACATCCTAGACGGATTATTCTAGACGGAATTTCCGTCTAGAATAATACATTCTAGACGGAAAAAATTTCCGTCTAGAATGACTATTCTAGACGGAATTTCCGTCTAGAATAAATATTCTAGACGGAATTAATTTTTTTATTTTTTTCCATTAAAATGGCATCCTAGACGGAATTTGAGCATTCTAGACGGAATTTTCGTCTAGAATGCTTTGCTACAGTAGGTTTTTTTTTTTTTTTTTTGCAGAATCTACTTTGGGTTTATGTACACAATATTGAATAACAAAAAATTATATTCATATCCAACACAATCTAATTATATTCCAATATCAAATCTCATTATATTCAAATAATACATTCAACAAAATAGTAGAGAGATACATAAATTGTTTACAAACTTTTACATAAATTATTTACAATGGCTATGACACTACGGAAGCTTCTTCAACTCCTTCCCTATACATTTACTCAAACCCTCTTCTTCACCTTCTTCCTCATCATCCTGAGTGTAGACTTTGGGGTATTTAAGGGCAAATAAATTGCTTGGAACTGACAAAAGAATGAGAAGCTAACTGTTAGTAAAAAATTTTCAAATGTAAAAAAGATTAAGAGTAAGATTGAATTTGTGTCCAATGTAAATAAACTAAGGAAAGGAATACCTGCAATGACTTAGATAAAATAAGCATTTGGAAAAGCAAATAGCAATGATGGGTGAAGTTGTTAGGTCTAAGAGGTAGTGCAAGATGCCTGAACATAGCAGTAGATTCTTAAACATGAAAAGTGTCCAGGATAAGGTTGAGTAACTAATTCTAAATATCACTGAGAACTACATATTATGGAGCAATTATCATTACATCAACAATATACTAGTGTAACATACTCAAAATACAACAGAATAAATTGGAATATTTTGCTTACCCAACACTCCCCAAGATATTTCCAGAGCAGCAAACTCAGTAGGCCTTCAAGAAAAACTAAAAAGAAGAAAGAAGTAAGCAGGCCGCTAAGCATCACAACACAGAATTTTCCTGCACACAATGGGACTTAAGTAATAAAATTCACAACAATATGCATACAGATATGCAAATATTGCAAACTAAGAGCTATAAAGAGTTGGAGTAGCCTCTGACAGTTGTCCATAACAATATGCTTATTACAGACATGTAAATATCACAAACATTTTCCAAGTAGCAAGTAAGCATTTTCCAAGTAGCAATTTAATCAGCAGACACAAGAAACATCATCAAGGTCATGGCATCATTCTAATGATAAAAAAAAGCACTTAACCCTTCTACAAGACTAATAACTCAGTGATTACTCACTTAAATGATTTAATCTTCATCTTCATTCAAACCCCCTCGGAAATCAACCAACGGATGCATCATTAGACAGTACTATAACAATTATGTTATCAAGATTCAAGACTTCATCTTTCCTTTTTGTTCATTCAACAAAGAAAATGGCACAAAGTAACAAAAGAAAAATCGAATTTGACCTTAAACCCTACAACAACAAAATTTGCAGGAATCTAAAGAAAGAAATTTCTAATCTTAAAAAAACGTGATAAAGCATTGACCTGTGAAATCCCAGTCTTTTAAGAACTGGGAGAGTGAAGACGCACATGCATATATCCACACATACACATGCATCCATCCATGCGCACACATACAAATACAAACTATTCATAAGGTCAAAGTGAGATGAACATGTAACCACCCTATCACAAGCAATAATACCACCAGGCTAATCAATTTGTATCAGTCATGGAAAGTTACTTCTCCTTCAGCATGTCTTTCATTCATTCACAACTTGCTAGAGTCGTGATTCAACCTGACTTACATTTCTTAAAATTTTGGTCAAAGTATATCTCTTTTTATTAAATTACACTAATTTCCAATCAAACTGCTCACATGCGGTCAAAGCATATACTTAATAATACAAGTTCATTCTAAATTAGCAAAATTAAACATAGATTAGAAGAGTAAAAGTAACCGGATGACGGGGATCACAAAACTAGGGTTTGAGAAAATTAGGGTTTGAGAAACTGTCAATATCTAATCGGGGATCAAAAAACTTCAAATCAATTGCTGAAATCAAGCTAGATCGAAAGCAAACCTCAAAGAGTTGGAGTTTTTCGACTGAAGCCCTTTTCCTGTTTGAGGGGGGAGGCGACGACGGGACGGCGAGGTCGGAGGAGAGGGACGGCGACGACGTGACGGCGAGGTCGAAGGAGAGGGACGGCAATTGTTAGCATTACATCTGCATTGATATTGTGAACAATATCAATGTCCATGCCCATTGTCCATGCTCTCTTGTCAATGTCCATGCTCACCCATGCTCTTTTGTCCCACTTCTTTGCCTGTAAATAGAAGGGAGGAAGAGAGGAGAAAGGGTGGGGGAAGAAAAGAAAGAGTGGGAGTTAAAGAGATTTTCAAGAGAGAAAATTCAGGTAGTCTGGAAGTCAAATAAAACCTATCTTATGAGATATTATCTGCATTGATTGGTTGGTATTTTACATGGGAGGCAGGTAGTCTGGAAGTCCTTGGAGCTGTCCAAACCTGTTTGAATAATATGAGATTGGTCAAATCTGTTTGAAGTATTATTAATTAGTTTTGATGGATTCAGGGTCTTGTTAAGCTGCTACGAGTAAGCTGGAATTTTTGATTAAATTGTGGCACAAAATATTTGATTGCATAACATGTATGTAGATTTGATGTTTAATCATAATGACATTTTATTTTTGTTGATATTTATTGTCAAATCTTTTGCAGAAAATGGTTATTTGTAGTTCAAAAAATGTTAATGAAAGTCCCTTACTTCCATGCAGGAATTGTCATTTGAATGAAAAGCAAAAGGGCTTGTTTGATGGAGACCCTTAGCAATCTGTAGCCACCTATTTTACTCAAATGGAAGGTTTTGATGCAGGTGGGTTATTTCCTTTATGTTAAGATTTTCCGTCTAGAATACTATTCTAGACGGAAATTTCCGTCTAGAATACCTGATTATTTAAAAAATAAAAATAAAAAAAAAGAAACCGTCTAGAATACTATTCTAGACGGATTTTTCCGTCTAGAATGTTTTATTCTAGACGGAATATTCTAGACGGAATATTTCCGTCTAGAATAAAACATTCTAGACGGAAAAATTTCCGTCTAGAATAGTCCGTCTAGAATATTTGATTTTCTACTAGTGTATAAATTGTAACTATATCGAGTTGAACCCAAATTCTGAAACCGAATAGGATAGCTAAATTTCTGTCTTGATTGGAAGCTTTATTTCCAATATCATTTATATTCTGGAAATATCTAATTTGCCTAACTGAACTTTTCTTTCTAACACTTGTACAAGGGATTTATTCTTACTGATTACAACTTCGGACATGTAGCAGTGTACTATGAAATTTTATGCTGAATTTTCTTTTTTATGCTGTAAAAAAAATAGCCTTCTTAATGAACTTTTTGCTATAAATGTTTGTAACACGTCACCACTTTCTTTGTCCTGTGATTCGGTATATACATGTAAATATTTCTCTGCTTCTATCATTGGTTTATCTCTGGCTATTATATGTTCGTAACTATTATATGCATCTGACTTGAAGTTTCTATCATTATAGGCAGGCCAAGAATCCTTCAGATCCATTACAAGATCCTATTACAGAGGAGCTGCAGGCGCACTATTAGTCTATGATATCACCAGGTATTTATTTTTTAGAAATGTTCCCATGTCGTGCACTTCCTCTTCTCTATAGTACTTATTTATACTTACTTTTGTGTCCAATGTCAGGAGGGAGACTTTTAATCATTTGGCAGGCTGGCTGGAGGATGCAAGGCAACATGCTAATGCTAACATGACAATCATGCTCGTCGGTAACAAGTCTGACCTGGCACATAGAAGAGCTGTCAGCATTGAGGAAGGGGAGCAGTTTGCAAAAGAGCATGGGTTGATATTTATGGAAGCATCAGCTAAAACTGCTCAAAATATTGAGGAGGTAACTTGTCCTGACTTTTCTTTGTTCAGATTTAAATGGGAAATTTTGTCAAATTCTGCTTATTTTTTCCCCTTTAAATTCCTGAATTACTTTCAGGCTTTCATTAACACCGCAGCAACAATTTATAAGAAGATTCAGGATGGAGTCTTTGATGTATCGAATGAGGTAATAACCATGATTTACATCATTCGATTGGAAACAAAAGCTGCTCTTGTAGTAATAAACAATATAGAGGTAGTTGAGTTGATGGAAAATTCCATTGATACCATATGGAGACTGAGATTTTTCGCTCCTCATATGTAGTGTACCCCCGATAACTAGTTTTATATATTTTTGAGGATCGGTTTAATTTCTTAAGAAGATATAATCCAGTATTTTTCTCAAAGCTATAGCATCGGATACTCCAAAACTTTTAACTTGAATACTTCTAACCTTTTGAACTGAGGCAATGATCACGCCTAGTGGGAACTTCTGCAAATTTGAGTGAGACTTTTCTGTCCTATATTTACAAATTTACAGTGCCTTGTTCTCCTTTATCTCTGTCTAGATAATGTACCTTATCTCATTCATCGTGGTAATTTTGACATAGTTATATTTCAAATATTCCTATTGTACACTTGAAATAAAAATGATATTTGATTTGTTCCTAAGTTTATGTGATGTGATTTTTCTACTCGTTACCATCTTTCTCTCAACTTATATATCTATTCTATTGGGTTTTCGTCAGTCATACGGAATCAAGGTCGGGTATGGTGGAGTCCAAGGCACAGCCGGAGGGAGAGATGTTTCTGTGAGTGGGGGCCACTTGTGCGTGTGAGGTGTTCTCGTGAACACTCAAAGACTCCCGTGAATGATGAGCCAGCGAAAAAGCCAGCAGACAAAAATCACTAAGCTCATGCGGAAACCCACAGGCCCACCCGATTTTCAACTGTATAAATATCAATGTGCAGTTCCCTAGGGTTTTTTGGAGCAAGGACGTGTGCAGAGAGCTGGGGCTGATTTTTGAGCGGCTGATTTGGTGCAGGACTTCTTTGCTAGCGGCTACGAAAGAAAGCAAAGTTTTTTTTTTAAAAGGCTTTGAAGCGGTGGCAGAGAGGGCACGGATTTTTCAGCGGCTGATTTATGATGTGCTTGGGTTTTGTATCTCCCCATTTGAGAGAGTATTTGTGTGAGGGATCTGAGAGTTTGTGAGAGGGTTTAGATTGTGAGATTGTAAACCCCAGTTGTATCTCTCCCTCTAATAGTAGATCTCCCCCCTCCTTGCCCCGTGGACGTAGGCAGTTTGCCGAACCACGTAAAATTTGTGTTCTTGTCGTGATTTGTAATAGCTTGTAGGATCCCTCGACGCGCAGTCCTAGAGCTGACGAGAGGAAGAGCAGATATCTCACTTTGATGAGATATCTGGCTTTCGGTTCTTGTTTCCTTTGAGAAACTAGAATTCCGTTGTGATCTAATCTCTTGTTGTGCACCTTGGCGCACCGGAGGTGCTGCCGAAATTTCCGCTGCGCACAACAGTTTCGTCGTCCCAAGCTGGTGGATGCTGCAGCTGATCTCTTGTTGCATAACATTTGATTGCTGATATTCATATGATTGCTAGTTCTGTATATTTTCTGTTAAATTCACTCGATATTGTGTTGAAATTGGTTGGTTTCTCTAACTATTGGGCCTGAGTTGTGAAGTAAGGCGGTTTGAATCTGATAAATACTCTCAAGTTCTTTTTTACATCCATTTGTACATCTAGTAGTTGCTGCTTGTTAAATTTAATCGATATTCTGTATATTTTCTGTTTTCTTTTTGTTTTTGTTTTTTTAAATCTATTTTTTCCGGTTACTTGCAAGTGCGGAAAGCAAATAAACTGAGTCACGGTCATTTGTTTTTCCCTCTTTGTTTTTTGCTAAAAGAAATACACGAGAGATTAGAGAATGGCTAAAATACCAGATTGGTCTAAATAGTGACACATCTTTACCACTTCGACCTAAAAAGTTACACGGGCGATACTTTAACCTAAAAAGGGATAAATCAGAGACAAGTAAGCCTTTCCTTTCACCAAAAGTAATTTTTAAGCAAGAAAATTAAAAGATATTTATATAAACCCTTCAAAAACTCATATTTTCTGATTTAACCCCTCAAGTCTTAAAATTTAAAAAAAGAACTTCTCTCTCTCCCTCCCTCCCCACCATCTTTTCCCTCATCCTTCCGTCATCTCTTGCATTCTTTTATCTTCCTAATCGTCACCATTCTCGCTCATTTCTTTCATGATTGGAGGATGAATGAGTAGTAGGAAGCAAGGAGGAAGAAAGAGTGCAAGAAAAGAAGAGAAGGATGAGATTAAGATTGTGGTGGAATGTTTAATTTTGGGTGTTGAGAATGCGTGTGAAGCAAGTAGGAAGAGAGAGTTAGATAAAGGAAGAGGAGAAAAAGGAAGAGGGAATGGGAGAGAGGAGTAGATAGTAGGGATTTGAAGTAAAAGAGATTGGAGGAGATGAAGGAAATTAGAAAGCAAGTGTGATGATCCATGAAATAAGGTAGGAGAGGGAGGAAGGAAGGTTAGGTATAGGAAGAGTAAGGGTGTTGAGAAGATGGTGGGAAGGAGGAAGAAGATAGTGTAAAAAGAGGGGTTTTTTTTTAAATTTCAGAAATTTAGGGGAAAAAGATGGTTAATTTAAAAATCATGGAAGCTTGAGTGGTATGTATATAAATTTTTTTTAAATTTTTTTCTAAAAAATAACTCCAGTGATCAGAAAAGTTGTCGCCGATTTGCCACTTTTTAGGTCAAATTGACGCCGGTGTCACTTTTTAGGCCAAAGTGAAAAAGGAGTATCACTATTTAGACCAATCTGGTATTTTAACAGATTAGAGAAGAGAAGCTAACGTATGATGAGTTGTACATTTATGGTGAGGGACTTATTGGGGGGTTTATTGCAGACTGATGAATGTTCTTAGGCATTTAGTGTAATAAAAATTCTTCTTCTTCTTCTCGCCCTTTAGTTGTTGTTAGTGTAATGAACATTCTTCTTCTTCTTCTCTCCCTTTTGTGGTTGTTGTTGCTTTTATGATCCATCTCACTCTCTGAGATTCAAGAGGGTGTTACTAATATTAAGCTCCCCCCCCCCTAAAAAAAAAAACTACCTTAAAATAAGATTATTTTACACAAATCGTCTTTCATTTTTAATTTATACAATCATCTCTAATATGGGTTCTTTTTGCAATCAATCACCTCCTATTCAAAATTTGCACTTCGAAAATCTTAAACTACCCTTAAAAAACTCACATTTAATGCATGTGACTCACTTTGTTAATGTCTAGGTCTAGTCAGGATATGAATCGCGTATTTTAAAAGTATAATTTTAAATGTTATTTTTGGTTTTTCAATGAAGATTTGACTAGAAGATGGTTGATTAGAGCAAAAATCTCAATTTTAACATGGTTTAGGTAGAGATGAAAACGAAGGGCGGTTTTTGTAAAATGATCCCACTTTTAAGGTGAGTTCGAAGGGTAAAAAACCCTAATACTAAATTAGCACGGGAGTTGTCTAAAGATTTTGTGACCTAATACTACTACTTAATAAATTGTAATTGGATTAATCACATTCAATGCATATGGGATATTTTAGTTAAGACCGACTTAGTGAATACATTTTCATTAAAAAAAATATTTACCTTATACCATGTGCATATCAAACGTGCTCAAAAGTTTACTTGAAATTAACAATCAAGACACGTGAGTAGTGAATAAAAACCTTTGCGTCTCCACACAAAGTGAATGTCCAAGCCATTGACTTTTGAAAGCAAAGAACACAAAAGATGAATGAATACAATGAAAAGAACATGCTATATGAGCTAAAAGAAGTCCCCACGGAAATTATTGCTTCTAGTTTCCTTAGTTTATTTGTCTCCTGCTTTCTTTTTTAGGGACAATTTGGTTCAAAAACTATATTTATAGAAAATTAATTTCTCAAAAAGAAACTTTTTTTTTTGTGTTTATCGTGAGTTTCTATGAAAATGGTTTTCGTTGTTTATTTGTTCACCCATAAATCATGACCGAAATATAGAGACCGCAATATTACTTGTTTGGTTGGTGTCATAAGAAATAAGAAATGACATTTATAAGAAACAAAGAGCCATCTCATCCCCTCCCATTGTATTATTCTCCTTTATTCGATTATTACAAGCCCATTTCCGAGCTTAAAAAGAACCGAACCTTTTCAGGTCAACAAACCAGAGTTAACCCTTGCCTACATTGGCTAGTTCAAAAGGCGATTCTCCAAAACTTTAATCAAAAATATATTATATATAAAAGATAGATTCTCTGATGTCAGAACAAATTAGTTAATTAATAATGTCGGATTAGATAGAGCAACGACTCCCATCCATCAAAATATTATGGGCCGGATCCAAAACCCTGAACCCAACAACATAAACATACTCAGATTATTACGGATCTCAAAAAAAAAAAAAATCAATAAAAAGAAGGAAAAAATCCCTAAAATTCAAGAAGAAAAAAAAACCTACGTATCCAAGAACCCAACAAGGAGAAAAAGAAAACTCTACAATTCTACTAAAAGAATAGTTGATTGAAGGAGAACCAATCAGAGAGGAGCAGGAGCTGGAACTCCAAAGCCCAAGAAGGGTCTCCCATCTATTGAGGGTTCATCATGCAACATCTCCTTCAATTTGTGGAACCCATGCGCAAAAACTCCGAACCCGAAAACGAACCCGATAAGCGCGACCACGAGGACGAGAAGAAAGCACAGGCAGCAAACTCTACTCGGGCAGCAGCACATCTTGCAAATTACAAACTTAGATGGAAAAAAAAGAGGGTGTTAAAGTGCAAATAAATAATTTGTAGAGGAGGAGGAAAGGAGAAGAGATGGGTTCTTTTTTTTTTGGTTTTGGATTTATATAGAGTTGTAACTTGTGGTCGAACGTAAACACGTGAAGGGTAATTCGTTTGCTAATTATGGGAGGAACAAGAGCTTTATGCTAATCATTGATCGCTAATTGTAACGTTTTGAGCAATTAATTGGTGCTTACGCGTTGAGGAACTGGGGATGCTGTAATTGGCCCGTCAAGGGAAAGGCCCATGGGGGAATGTGAACTGGGCCAAGATTTTTTGTCGAGCCTGCTGAAATCTTTGGCAACTGAAGCTTAAAGATGGCAAGACTTTGTTAGGTAATATTTTGATATGTGTTTTGTTAGTAAAACTACGGATAGTATCAGTGTAGCCCAGAAACACTATACGAAACCCATGAAAATTTATTGTCAATTTGAAGCATGAAGGTGTGGATTTTTTTAATAAGTAATGTTTATAATTTATTTCCTAATACCCCGTTTGGCAAAGGGTTAAGTAAAAAGGGTTAAAGAGAAGGATTAATGTACTTAGTCCATTCGATAATCTGAAAGACTAAATTATTAACCAGTTAAATAAGTTTTATTTTAACCCTTGTGATCAGTTTTAGTATTTGGGAATAACAATAATTTTGACTATTTTATTTATAATTAGAATGGTTAACTCTTAATCCTTCTAAATAGGAGTATTAGTAAATCTCTCATTTTGAGGGGTTAACCCATTTTAATCCCTCTAGAGGGGTTAGCTTAACTCTTCTATATTTTTTATGTTTGGCAAATTATGAAGGGTTAACTCACTTTAACCTTTGTATAGATTTTTTGTATTTGGCGGGTTAAGAAGAGGTTAAGTCTCCTTAACTCCTCACTTAACCCTTTGTCAAACGGTACTTAAGTGTTTTAAGTGTATAAGGCGAGTCATTTCCCAATTTCTTCGGTCTCACTTATCTTTGAGGGTGATGCATCTTAAATTTGTGATCACCTTATCAAAAAAACAAGTTCCTTGTCACCTCTAAACAATTTTGAGTATCTTGTTAAAATGCAATTTTGAAGAAGAAGCTCAAACTTATTATATACGAGCAACTTGCTTTGAAAAATATTTTAAAAGCAGAAAGATTTATGAGTCAAGCCAATCAAAGTATAATACTCTCACTTGCACTATAAATAAACGATAAAGTACAAGTCATTTGCCGTGCAAAGGTTCCTTGCTTTTCTTAAAGATTCTTCTTCGCTGAAATGCACGATTGTTTATATTTTCATAACTATATTTTATTTAACGCCAACAAAAATATATGCAAAATCAATTTTATTCAATAACGTCTCCCACATTGAATTACCCTTCTTTAATCCTGCCATTTTTTAATGAATATCCCAATTAAATTTTTTTACCAAGCGACATGAATGATGGCATTATGGTGTCATGCCATGATGATAAATTAGCCTCTCCTTTTTTTATTTAAAAAATAGAAATAGATATATTTTCTGTGTGACCGCAAAACAGAGAATGAAACTGTCCACGCTGGTGAAGATCATATCAAACCATTATAAAAAGCTCAAACAAAGAACTAGTGATGTAATGTCCGTAAATTTGTCATTTGATCCTAAAAGCACCTCAGATTTGCCTCCAGTCAGCAGATAAGAACATGATGGTATGATACTATTAATTAAAGTATACAGACAACAATATCAACTAAAGTTTGAGATAGTTCAAACAAAAGATATGAAATCCTTCTCTTATACGTGACATATTGTCTCCCATTCACCTATCTTTTGCAAACACATCACGCTGCATGAACCCGGTATAGGAGAAAAAACAATACCAAACCCATGTGGACTTCCACAATAGTAACTTAATGTGTGCCTTAGTAACAATTTAAGACAAAGATTTTGATGAGCATTGCCAAGATCTTAGTCAAGTATATGGTTGTCTTTAGTATTAGCTCCATTATAGTTTCGATCGTCCGCGAGTCACCGCACCAGACAGAAAAGCACATTTCTCTAGAAGCAATTATTTACACAATAGAATAGAGATAAACTGTGCATTTTGCACAATCAGAATATTTTGTTTCTTTATTTTCCCTGTTCAGAGAGTTTCAAAATTTGAGGCTAGCAACATGCATCTAAACACACATATACCCCCTTTACGTCACGCTTTGACTTAAACAACTGTTTGCCTCCAACTAACTCTTGTTTAATATACTAATGAAAGACAAATTATTTAGATAATTAAGAGAAGCAAGTGGAATCATCATTTTTGTTGGGAAATACTCGGGGCTACGCTAAACCCCTTTAACAGCGAAAAACGCAGTATAGAGAAAAGTACACCAAGATATAACGAGGTTCGGCAAACTTGCCTACGTTCTCGGGAGCCACACAATTAATTTCTTATTAATTAACAAGAAATTACAATGCAAGAGCAGATCTCAAACTTGAAATCTCTCAATAAATGCACTATCAACACTATAGCTACAGTGTTAATCCCCTCTCCTAAATACTCTCTTAAATCTCCCCTCTAAATCTAAGAGCGCTGGAGAAAAAGAATCACGAGCCGTCCGCCTTCAATTCTCCCCTCAAACAATCATTGAGAGCTGGAGAAAATCGGGGCTAAAAAATCACAGAGAGAAAACGTTGTCGCCGCCTAGAGGAGAAAACGAGAAGAAGCAACAGGGACTCGTGCTCTGGGGTTTTCTTTTATAGGGAAACCCTAGGGACAACTGGCGACAGCTGGCGATGAGCTCGCCTGTGGAAAGCTCCCGCTTGACCTTGCCTGCAGCAACCCCCCACCTCGCCTGCATCGAGCTCGCACGCTCGCATGATCACGTCTCAAGTTCGCCCGCGCTTCACCCGCTCCAAACTTATTATATACGAGCAACTTGCTTTGAAAAATATTTTAAAAGCAGAAAGATTTATGAGTCAAGCCAATCAAAGTATAATACTCTCACTTGCACTATAAATAAACGATAAAGTACAAGTCATTTGCCGTGCAAAGGTTCCTTGCTTTTCTTAAAGATTCTTCTTCGCTGAAATGCACGATTGTTTATATTTTCATAACTATATTTTATTTAACGCCAACAAAAATATATGCAAAATCAATTTTATTCAATAACGTCTCCCACATTGAATTACCCTTCTTTAATCCTGCCATTTTTTAATGAATATCCCAATTAAATTTTTTTACCAAGCGACATGAATGATGGCATTATGGTGTCATGCCATGATGATAAATTAGCCTCTCCTTTTTTTATTTAAAAAATAGAAATAGATATATTTTCTGTGTGACCGCAAAACAGAGAATGAAACTGTCCACGCTGGTGAAGATCATATCAAACCATTATAAAAAGCTCAAACAAAGAACTAGTGATGTAATGTCCGTAAATTTGTCATTTGATCCTAAAAGCACCTCAGATTTGCCTCCAGTCAGCAGATAAGAACATGATGGTATGATACTATTAATTAAAGTATACAGACAACAATATCAACTAAAGTTTGAGATAGTTCAAACAAAAGATATGAAATCCTTCTCTTATACGTGACATATTGTCTCCCATTCACCTATCTTTTGCAAACACATCACGCTGCATGAACCCGGTATAGGAGAAAAAACAATACCAAACCCATGTGGACTTCCACAATAGTAACTTAATGTGTGCCTTAGTAACAATTTAAGACAAAGATTTTGATGAGCATTGCCAAGATCTTAGTCAAGTATATGGTTGTCTTTAGTATTAGCTCCATTATAGTTTCGATCGTCCGCGAGTCACCGCACCAGACAGAAAAGCACATTTCTCTAGAAGCAATTATTTACACAATAGAATAGAGATAAACTGTGCATTTTGCACAATCAGAATATTTTGTTTCTTTATTTTCCCTGTTCAGAGAGTTTCAAAATTTGAGGCTAGCAACATGCATCTAAACACACATATACCCCCTTTACGTCACGCTTTGACTTAAACAACTGTTTGCCTCCAACTAACTCTTGTTTAATATACTAATGAAAGACAAATTATTTAGATAATTAAGAGAAGCAAGTGGAATCATCATTTTTGTTGGGAAATACTCGGGGCTACGCTAAACCCCTTTAACAGCGAAAAACGCAGTATAGAGAAAAGTACACCAAGATATAACGAGGTTCGGCAACCTTGCCTACGTTCTCGGGAGCCACAGATATAACGAGGTTCGGCAAACTTGCCTACGTTCTCGGGAGCCACACAATTAATTTCTTATTAATTAACAAGAAATTACAATGCAAGAGCAGATCTCAAACTTGAAATCTCTCAATAAATGCACTATCAACACTATAGCTACAGTGTTAATCCCCTCTCCTAAATACTCTCTTAAATCTCCCCTCTAAATCTAAGAGCGCTGGAGAAAAAGAATCACGAGCCGTCCGCCTTCAATTCTCCCCTCAAACAATCATTGAGAGCTGGAGAAAATCGGGGCTAAAAAATCACAGAGAGAAAACGTTGTCGCCGCCTAGAGGAGAAAACGAGAAGAAGCAACAGGGACTCGTGCTCTGGGGTTTTCTTTTATAGGGAAACCCTAGGGACAACTGGCGACAGCTGGCGATGAGCTCGCCTGTGGAAAGCTCCCGCTTGACCTTGCCTGCAGCAACCCCCCACCTCGCCTGCATCGAGCTCGCACGCTCGCATGATAGTTCGCCTGCACCTGCCTTAAGCTCGCCTGTGGAGCTGCGTCGTCTCGAGCTTGCCTGAATGGATCTCTGTCGCCTGAAGTCGCCTACCCTCGCCTGAATCGAGGTTTGTTCTACACTCAAACCAACAATCTCCTACTTGGAGACCAAACCACCGACAGCATGCTATCTCAACAAGCACCTCCTCCTGTGTGGCTCCGCCCTCCTCATCGAGTTCGCCTGCACCTGCCTTAAGCTCGCCTGTGGAGCTGCGTCGTCTCGAGCTTGCCTGAATGGATCTCTGTCGCCTGAAGTCGCCTACCCTCGCCTGAATCGAGGTTTGTTCTACACTCAAACCAACAATCTCCTACTTGGAGACCAAACCACCGACAGCATGCTATCTCA